CTGTCTGTGAAGTCCCTGTTCAGGTAACCCCATTGGCTGTGAAGTCTCTGTTCAGGTAACCCCATTGGCTGTGAAGTCTCTGTTCAGGTAACCCCATTGGCTGTGAAGTCCCTGTACAGGTAAGCCCACTGGCTGTGAAGTCCCTGTTCAGGTAAGACCCCTGACTCATGCTGAGCTGTGTAAAGAGCCTGTTAAGCCCCACACTGCAGAAAGGTGAATGGAAGGTTTTAACTCGTTCGGCATAATCCTATACCATAGTACTCATATCAGTTGCTGAACACCTTTAATCTTCAAGTTTTTACTACTTGTCTAGAAGAGTATTACAGATTGGGTGTGTGTATATATTTATTGATTGATTTGTGCTTGATTAATTTGTGATTATTGGCACAGAATTGTACCATATTCAAGTACAAGTGGACAGAAAACCATTTAGCAAACAGCAATAATACAGCATTCATTCATTCAACAGAAAGAGGACCACACAGTTCTCACATCAAAGGCCTGACCTTTTCCCCTTCTGTTCTTGTAGGACTTTCCTGTACACCATTCCTAAACCTCTGTGTTCTCCTCATCCCTGCAGGAAATTCAGGGTCAGCTACAGATACTCAAGATGTACACTAAGGACTGCCAGTTTACAGAATTGACAGAGTGCCAGGAGTGAGTCTACTGTCACAGTGAAGTGATGAGACTTTGAGGAGCGGGAACGGGGGGGGGACAGAGGAGGAGGCTGCAGGGTCAGACTGATTCACATTTTTCACCTGCCAGGAGGCTACAGACAAGTGGGTACAGTATGTGGTTCATAGGTTAGGACCCTGTGCCTATGATCAGAAGGTTGCTGGTTCAGATATCATGGTCGGCTGAATAGTTTCACTTCAAGTCCCTTGAGCACTGTCCCTCACTTCAGCTTCTCCAGGGATGGGCAGCTCTGCTTTATGAATCGTATATTGCTTTGGATGAAAAAGTAAATGCACAGATATAGACGAAGGGTAAAGTGTCAGCCTTGATATATATCTCCTCTCTCTTTACCCGGACTAGAAAATATGTGTCTGTTTTTCCATTCTCTACTCCTGCTGCATGTGCAGAAACCAAAAAGAATAAAATATCAAAAGAAAATTAGGGGCAAAGGCATTTATGCCTCAGGTTATTTAGGGATAATAATAGGATGGACCTGAAATTCTGAAATGGTGCGGTGATGGTTGGAGCAGGACCAAGGACCATTGCATTATGCAGTAAATAGCAAAACAAATGTTTAAATATTTAAATAGCTGAACATGTATTAAATTCCGGAGATTTATTACTTTTCAGAGTTGCCCACCAAACATTACCTCTTGCTCTTGGCACTGGTTGGTTGTGTTTTCTTTGTTTCAGTTTTATGGTTCAAAAACAGGTTCGGTGCTGGGCTGGCTTGATTTGGGAGGGCAGGCAGAAATTTTGGTTGGGCATAAACCTTGTTTTCTGACCCATTCCCATTTGTGGAAAAAGCAATCCTTATAGTTTTACATTTTTTCCTTTTACAGCATTTTATAGGAGATTTATATGACCAAACTAGCCAAGCGAAACTGAAATAAAAGGATTTTTTTGTGATTGGTTGAACACACCCAGGAGGGGCCCAATGAAAATGTCACTGATGTGTGTGTCATCTTGAAACATCCCTTCCTTTGACCCGGCCATGTCCAAAAAGGAGAAACTCAATTGCCTTTAGCCATTGATATAGTTTATATTCTGGACACATAGCATTCCAGGCAAAAATATCACTAACCCCAGACCTGAGGTTAATTTCCCCACCAGCTGTAAACAATGAAAGGGAAAAGCCAGACCTGAAACCAGCGCAGACGGATTTGGGTCCGAAACTCGGAACAAAGACCAAAAGTGAATCCAACTAGAAACCCAGATGATTTTGGACGGACTTTGAACTCAGACAGGGAAGAAGGAAGAGAGAGACAGGAAGACAAGGGGCGATATTTATGTTCCTACTGTGACCCGCCTCAAGCGCTCAAGTATTTGGTTCCTCAGGTTGCGTCTGAGGGAACCAATTCACCAACAGACCAAATCAGGGAGGCCTTCTTGTTTGCTAACAGGACCCTGAGTGTGCGAAGACAGAGATGTCCCTTGGAGGCCCACCGCAAACAGCTTTTATAAGCGTGAGCCACAAGGTGTTTTGTTTTTTTGTTAGAGGTCTAATTAGTATCTCCTCGTGTGACTGTTTCTCTTTAGCATGTTATGGCATAAGGAGCAAACCAACTCAGGCAGGAAAGTCCATTAAATTCAGTTTACACTACCTTTCATTTGTTCATCACTCATGTAAAACAGGCTATTCATATAATGAAAAAGTTTCAACTAAATGCAAATATTATAATCATAACAACTTGATTCATTCTTACTTTCAAATTCCATTGTTTTCTTTGTGCCAAGATGTCAACCTGTTTTACTGTAGTGAAATAATCATCTTAATTACTACCGACCTGTTTACACTAATCTCACAGTGGTATCTGAGCTGGATATTCTGTACAACTTAATTAATTCCACAAGAACAGGAGGGACGGTGAATGGACAGGAGAGGACTTTCTTAAACATCACCATCTCCCTCTTCAGTGCCACTTACAAAGGGCCTTGTGATTTAAATTTAAAATTTATCTTTGGAAGAGTATGGAGCAATTCTGAAAGTGAAGGATATTTAGTTTAATTTTGATTCTTACTTTTTCATCGAGATATCTAGATACTTATTTTTTTTTTACAGTCAGTAGTTTATTTTCACAAAGCTTCAGTAAATCATTCGACCGCGTTCCTCACTGTACGTGTCTGTGAAATTCATCCACCTGATGTCTGGGACTTTGGTTCACGTTGTTCCCAGTTGAAGGATGGGGAACCAGTGCCCTGAGCAACCACCTCCCCCCACTAAATTCTTTGTTACTGTGTTGTCAGCGCCTTTCCTGAGTCTTCATTTGTCCACTAAAGTTATGGGGCAATCAAACCTTGTTCTCATGGGCAACCCTAAAAATTGGAGACGTTTGTCATGCCTCAGGGTACCTACAAGCAAAATAATTTATGGTCTCATCATGACAGGAATTGTAATGCTTGTTAAATTCTGATTGTAACGTTCAAAATACTGGCCGTCCCTGGGTTTAGAACGTCCAACCTATGGACAACTCCTATTTACAAACGGACTGCCGCGAAGCCTATTATATTGGAAATTTGGGTTAGATAGAATGGTTCATAATAATGAATGCATGCACTCCTTTGTGGTGCTGATGAGAAGCTTCAGTGGTTCGTCGGCTTGGGGTGCAGTACAGTACTGTATCTAGGTACTTTTATTACTATTATTATTATTATTCTGTACTGTATTATTGTTCCAACTTACTTACAAATTTGACTTAAAGACAGACTTAGGGAGCAGATTTTGTTTGTAACCTGGGGGCTGCCTGTGGTTATCTTTAATAATTAGTAGTTAATTATTTAATGTAGAGTGGTATACGATATAATTCTGCTGTTATCTGCAGCTGTGAAAATGAGGAAAATGTCACACGAATGTCCGTTAGAAATTTTCTTTAGATGTGATTAATTGCTTTGATTATTGTCCTTATTCATTTTCTTGCATGAATGAGCTGAATGGCCATTAGCTTTTTCGCTGTGGTTTTGGAAGCTGAATTGCTAAGCAAAAAGCATAAACACAACATCTCCCTCCTTCCAGCGTTTGCCAGATGTTGAAGTCTGTTCACGACTGGATGTTCATGACTGGCAGATCTGGTGCAGGTCCAACTTTCTGTCTTGCAAACCTGCCATGTGTTTCTCTTGTTTTCGGTGTCAGTTTACATTTTACAAATGCAGACAAAAGCGATGATGAAACAAGCCAAATAATCAGACGCCCTTTGAATTAAAACATTTGTGCTTTCCCTTGTCTGCATAATCTCAGTCAGGAACCTTTCCACTGGGAAACATTTCGTTTGTTTATTTGAGGTGAATGATTATTGCTGAGCTCTGCCTCGTCTCAGGAAGGTGAATATCACGGTTTACGAAAAAAGGTCCAACGGAGAGATCATTTCAGCCGCTCCCGACTTGTGAATGTTAGCTCTCTCATGTTTTTGGAACATGTGCATGTTAACATTTTGACATATGAACGGAACTTCTTAATGTGAAAGCGTGCAGAGATATCCAAAGCCCATGTGTTATCATACATCATAATCCATGTTTTAGCCTGTTGACAATATATGTCCTTCAACGAGAACTTTCACATCTTCCTTAAAGCCAGATGTTCACTGTAATGTATTTCATAAATGTGCCCCTTTTCCCTGTACATTAAATAGTAATTTAAAAACATTCTTACTTTTGACTGCCTTTTCTTAATGGTCTCTTATTTAATGCATTGTTTTATTAAAGAGTCACCAATTCCTAGATGAACAATGATTTTTTTCAGAAAGATTAACACTTGAGCAAGAATGTTGCAGGTCAGTCAGTGAACATGCTAATGAGGCAATTTATAGGTCAGTGCCAGTGAAAGGCCTTGTTGTATCCATAGTCTAACTTCACCAATTTCCCCCATTTTCACCTTGTCCCGGACCCATGCATGTTAATCGGCCTGCAGCACAGATGGGTGATACACAGCATGATGGCCCTGGGCAATTTCACATCTTGCCTTTGCCAGGATCCATCCCTGAGGTCAGTAAAAGGACATTTGATGTCTTTCCTATAGGCAACACCTGAAGAAATGCTAATATTGATACTAATGTTTGTAATAGGTTATACATATCTGCTGATATGTATAACCTATTACATTTTAATTCTTCATTAACTTAATTTCTTTCCTAATCTCTGCAAGCGATCCACATTCATGAATCTGAACTGTTGGCTGCACTGCGGAGAAATGGCGAGAGTCAGCCTCTCGTAAAAGCACGCTCACTTACGCTCACTTACTTACGCTCACTCACTTACGCTCACTTACGCTCACTTACGCTCACTTACTTACGCTCACGCTCACTTACTTACGCTCACATCTTGCCCTGGCTGCTGTTATGTTAACCCTTCAGGTGACGCTTACAGCATACCTGTCAAGTTTTGGATTTGAAAATAAGGGAAATTTTCCGGCACCCACCGCGAGCCACCCCACCACCCCAACCAAGCTCCAGTATCCCTTACATTTTAAGACAGGTGTACAAGAAATCTAAAATACTTGTCATTTTTTTTTCATTACACATTTTCTTTTAATTTCTCATGTTCACTCATGTGGCTCTCTGACATTCACTAATGGCTTATTATACAGATTTGTTGCAGACTTTGTATCCTTGTTGAAGTCGTCACAGAAGGTGAAAGTAACGTTGTTTTTGGCACACAGCATTGCCATTTTAACCTCCACATTTATGACCTGGTTAATGTTGTAAATGACCTGCAGACTACAGCAGGTGGCAGTTCTCGCGAGGCTACTGACAGTTCAGTTTGGAGAGGCAGAGGAATTTTTTAAAAATGATATTATAATACGGGAGATTTAAGGGAAAATACTAATACGGGAGCTATCAGCTATGGCTTACAGCCGCAGGTGTTTGTTTAAGCAGCTGCATTAGAATAACATTTAATTTGAGTCCAAGCGGACCCCCACTTGTTCCACCTGAATTTCAATTCCTCAGTGACAGCGTAATATACGTTTGGCCAGTCATGGATACCGGATTTTTAAGCCTCATGCAGAACATACTGTCCATCACAGAAGACAAGATGACCTCAGTCAAGTTGGACCACACAGCTTGAAAGGGAAGATGAAGATACCATATCTGTTACACTTAAAAAGTCACCCCTAAGCCACCACTCTTATACATGCACATGTTTGTGTGTTACAGGCAATTATACGGTAAAGCAAAAAGCATTTTGCTGCCTGTTTTCCTTTTGGAAGCTGATTCTGAATCTGGAAAGCCATACAGTTTTCCAACGCACCCTCTATAGTCTGAGTAAGTAATGGTACAGATTACTCCTATCCTTTTACATAGAATTTGGCAGAAGTGATGCAACTTGAGTGCCAAGGACATTTTGCTGTATTACAAACAAGTTCTTGGTAATACATTAAACCAGGCACAGAGAACACTGCACTCAAAGACAATATCATCAGGACAATCGTATATGGTACTTTCACGTGGCTCTGCTCAGTTCAGGCCTGCAGATATGATGCTGTCCTATCAGACACCACAATGTATAGCCATTGTTCCACAGTAGCATATATACGGCCTTTAGATACACAAATTCTTTACCATATAAAACACGTTATACCTAGTGCCAGTCTGGGTGAAAATGAGGTGGGGGTAACCCTAGTTGGAACATGGAAATCAGTTCCTTAACAGTGGATTGGCCTTGTTGGTTAAACGCATCCCCTAGATGTAGAACATGTACCTCATCATCCACATGATGCAAAAAAAACTAAATTTACCGGACCAGGTGACCTTCTTCTGTTGCTCAGAGGTCTAGTTCCGATGCTTGCACATGGGCATAAATCCCGGGGGGGGACGGAGGGGACATGTCCCC